GCTGCAGCAGAGACAGGCTGAGACACCCCCATCCACAGACAGCTCAGATGCTGGTGGGGGTCCATCCACGGGACAGTCTCTTCCTGCTGCCTCTCACATGACCTCCAGCAAGGGGAGGTTGTCAGTAGACTTCAGAGTCAACAGCAGAATAGGAATACATCGGAGGGGCTGCAGAACCTGCCCCATGGCACACGACATCCCAGATACACTTCAGGCTCACACTGGTGCCCCCGCTGTGACTGGCTATCCCCATCCAGCACCTAAAGGCAGTTGCCTCTGGTGTGCAGCAGCTCCATGGAGGTAGCAGAGGCCTGGGAGGAGAGATAGGACCTCTGCTGTTGCTGAAGCAAGGTACTGACACTGGCAAAACGGGGCTCACATCCTGAAGGATAGCATCACCCCTCCAGCCCTGGCACTGCAGCCCAGACCACCACCCCCCAACAGGCACAGAAAAAGCAACTCTGCATTGGCCAGGAATCAAACCCGTGCCTCCCACGTGGTAGGCAAAAATTCTACCACTGAACCACCAATGCCAGATGTGTACCACACCTGGGTGCTGCCCTATGGCCTTGCACCCTGGGTGCCAACCTCTGCCTCCAGCACTTCATGCATGCCAGCCCTCCAACAAGACTTCTGTGCAGGGAGGGAGCTGTGCGTGCCCCCCTGAGTGTTCACACCCGTGGGTGCATGTCCCCACAGTGCACACATGCATTGTGCATGCATGTACACCACATTCGTGCCCATGGCATGTGTGTCCATATGCACAGGCACTGGGTGCTCACAGCACCCCTGCAAGGGGTGTGTAAGGCCACATCTGAGTTTGTGGCTGGTGCTGGGGTGCCATAGGGGGCCCAGGGTCTCCCCACCTGCTGGTACTTGCTGTACTCCTTGCCCAGGGCATCAAAGAGCTGGCAGAGCTCCTGTGTGTACTTCCAGGATGGGTGCTTCTCCGGCAGCACCTCATGGATCCGCAGCACGGCCTGGGAGCTCACATGGAACCAGAGGTACCGCAGTGCCACCTCCGACACTGTCCCGTTGCGCTGGGGGCAAGAGGGTGGCCCAGGTGAGACCCACGTAGCCCTCGTGGGCCCCCAGAGTGTCTCCATCATGGGGCTATCCCCTGCCACCTTCTTACCAGGTGAGTTATGTTGGACGGCCTCAGCACCTCCTCGTACTGGATCTGGACTGTGTAGTTGATGGGGAAGTAGTGCTTCTGGAAAGGCAGAGAAGAGCTCAGGGCCTTGCAGCAGGGTGACAGGAACATCCCTGCCAGCCTCAGTGCAACAGTGAGAAATCAGTGCAAAAGCCCTTTGATATGGTCAAGCCCGGAGATGCATCAGCAGAAGCACCTTTGGGCACTATTTGGCACATGTTGCTCCTGATAGAAAAGCCACCCCAAGCATCCAGTTACTGTAGCAATGGGTGCTGATTTACACGTCCCGCCCCCCCGAAGTGAACTGGGGCCCTGCAATGCCATGTGTACCCTCCATCCCCCCAAAAATGGGGGTTACCATGTACTGCAGGCGCATCTCATACTGCAGCTTGTCCTGGAGCAGGCGGGTAAGCTCACATTCGCCCAGC